GTATCATGTTTACTGCGTTAAAACAACTCCATATTTCTTCCCCATTTTGCCATCTGTAAGGGTGAACGTTTCATATCGAATTCTAAAGCATTTCCGAATATTGGCCATCCCTTTTTTTGGGGGGGGGGGTGTATATCGTATAAAAGGGTGAAAATTTATTGTATATTGTATAAGAGGGGGCAAAATTTATAGAATATGGTATAAGAGGTGTAAAAAGTATGGTATATGGTATTATAGAAAATATATGGTATATGGTATCTAGAATTAAAGAAGCCTAATTATGAAGAAATTGTACCCGAAGATTATACATCAGTAAAGTCAATTCAATACACAGTAACCTTAATTGATGGCATTTTGGCAAAGATCCCACTATTATATAGACTACCATTTTGTTCTTCGATATATTAATTGATACTTATTGATATGGTGGTAGAGGGTATTCAAAGGATTATTTAGGTTTGGCTGCCATATTGACGCATGATAGTTTCAAACTCTTCCAAACTAAGATCGAAAAACCACTCATTGCAAGATTAGATCAATTTTATTAGACATTGTTGAATCGTGTTATAAAAACCAGAATCTAAATTCATATGTTTGGAAACTCAAATTCCTCTCTATAGAGAGGATTTTAAAGATTATGTACGTGAGGTAACGTATACTATATTTGTATGAAATGAGCAAATGTCCTAGAAAAATGAACGTTAAAGAAGGCAGAATGTATTTGGTATTTTCCAAAATATTCCAATGGGTTATGTAGGGTGTAAGAATCGGGAATGGCCATCTTTACACGCCACGGCTCCATCACAGCTCCAAATAGTAAACTTTCCCGAGGAGTAGGCGACCTTTAGCAAGTGGGAGTGATTATTCTTAGCACTTGTCGTGACTTCCACCACGTCTCCATCCTTGAGTTTGTCGACTTGTTCAGCGGTGAGTTCCAGAAGATGGGTGTGTGGGCTTTTCGTAGCCACGTCAGTCTCGAGAGTTATGTCCTCGGTTTCTTCCGACTTATCAGGATCGATACCTTCAAAGTCGGGTATCTCTCTGAATAGTTTATGGCGCCGCTTCCCCTCCATGACCAAGTCACGTAGCGCTTGCATCTCTTGAAAGGCGGTCGATCCCTCCTCGTGTAATGGCATAATAGGATAGCGCTGTCTCATTACGCCAACGCCGGGAATATCTGGGAATAAAATGTAAGTACCAGCTGCTGATACTTTACGAACTTTTCCATCGGGATCCAGGACTCCAACTGAGTCTCTTGCAGTATCCGCAGCGTCGCCTTTTTCATTAGTCCCGGTGTAGAACTCAACAGGCGTCTGGTAGTAAAATGCGTGATTCGTGCCGTTGAACGCTTTGTCTGCCTCAAAACCACCGTTGCGACCGTTCGCATTGACTGATTTACTCTCCATATTACTCTTCTCGAAGGCGTTTCCTTTGTACTGCAACCCATAAGGATTCCATTTACTTAGTGGCGTCAACCAGACAAGCTCCATTGGAATTGCGAAACTATAACGAGCTTTGAGAATACAACGGTCAGCATCATAGTCTGCAGACTCCTTATCACACAAATCTAGGGACATCTCACGAACACCTGGTTGACTGGTTTTGGCCATGAATAGAGAATCATCCCCAAATGATCTGCGATACGTTTGTTGTCCCATCGCGTCCTTGTCCTTTGTGCTGAAGAACCGATGATAATACGCCGCGTTTAGAGGTTTCTGCGTGATCCTGTCAGTGATTTCTAGACCGTCAACTGTTTTATCTCTGAGATCTCCGGGATAGTTATCTTTGCCAGGAATCTCGCTCATGATCTCATCAAGCAAGGTCGGCATTGTTGATGGATTTCGAAAATAATCGGGACTATCAACCGTGTTCAGTTTAAACCTTGCACTTCTTGTCTTCAGTATTTGATCCATATCTGCGTTCCGTCTCATACGGAATTGGAAATCGTCAACAAGTAAAAGTCTGTTCAGCTTAATTTCTTTCTTGATCGGATGGCAAAGAATACGATAATTCCATTGTGCGAACTCTGGTTGGCTAGCGTTATTCATGCCCATTATGGAGACGGGTAGAAATGCAAGGTTTTCTTTTGTCGACTTAGTTCCACTGTACGAAGTAAACCTGTAAAATAAATGATACCTTTATTGACTTGTCATTATATTTCCAAATGAAATGGCCTGGACGTAAACTACAAGGTGGGCCAAAAACATAAAATAGAGGTTTCTTTATCTGACTTATAAGAGTTATGTGCAATGATATTTTACACCATAAAGGACCATGTATTGTATGGCAAATGATGTTAAACGGTGATATCTTCCAGCACGAGTACTTTAAAGCTATTTATTCAATTAAATTGGAAAAAATGTATTATAAAATAATTTCTGGCTCATTATGGTATTCTTTTTGTGGTCTTGACTTGCCTGATTTTTTCTTGAAGGTCAAACCAACTAGAGGCATCCAAAAAATGTCTGTCGCTAAAAAATGATTCCATGCTTTCTTCAGGGTCCAACCATGCCCCTTCCAAATAACACAATACCGGTTTGAAGTGGTCCCTGTAGTCCCTTTTACTGTGGTCTTGATCCTTCCAGGCCTTGAACCATTCACGCATTTCAAGGATCTGGTCATCAATCGTCTCCTTGTCAAGTACCGCTTTGGGCACATCGGGAAATGGAACGTTCTCAACTTCGTGGAATTCCTTGCTTGATTTACTAGGCATATAAAGTCGGTAGTCGTTGTGACGAGTACGGAACTCTACCCCATTGAGCACGGCTGAGAATTCTCCAAGACCACATGTTCGCTCGTTATTTGCATGTTGATGCATAGCGGCCACTCCGACACCACCGTACGACCTCTGGTGGTAAGACTTGAAACCTGTTTCACGACTACGCACCTAAATGAATACATTCTCTTTATTGTCAAGCTGTCCAATGCTTCTCAAAAAACATCCTCAAATACAAAATGAAATGATAAACAATTGAAACCCTCATGATTACGGTGTGTTTTTAATCATTTGGGTACGCATAGGCCTAAAAATGTAGGCCTATCCGCTTGCAGTAATTATATGCGATTGTATGCTCTAATTTCAATTCTATTCAATACCAAAATTAGAATAAAGCGTTGACTAAATGTTATCTTAACGGCAATGTCTTATTCTTGCAAATGCAATTGAATATGTACCTGTTTTATACCAGATTGTCCATCCCCACGGATGCGTTCCTCTACGAAAAGCTGTTGCATCACCAGCTGGCGTGACATCACCTCGACTGTTTGTTCCATTGAGTTCATCCTGTCTGCGCTATCATCGAGTAACATCTCCAATTTTTCTACAATTGCATTTTCATCGGGGATCATGAATAAGCATCTCTAGAGAAAGCATGTGAAAAAGAGTAAAATGTGATATGCAAAACAACCCTGAGTGCGTTTTCTCAACATATAGACGCGATCCTCTAACACAGAGATATTTTTGAGACAATACTGATGTTTCTACAGCAAATACTAAGAATTCAATAAAAATCAGTAAAAAACTTTAACAGACATACAATGATACACTCCCCTTTAATATGTGATTTAAAAGGGACTCCTGGATGCCAACCGAATGGGAATGAGTGTACATGTCATTAGTTAAGTGAAAAAGTCCCAGGCCATAATTTAATATCAATGTTTTATGTAAGCATTGGCGAGACCTTTGCCTTGGCCGTAAGGGCTTGCTACGTCTATATTAGGGCACACCACAAAAATACACTCACCTTCCATTTGATCCAATCGTCCATTATCGGCAACAGTTTCCGTTCTCCTCATTCTAGAAGGGTGTAACTCAACAAAAGCTGCACGTATGGTAACAGCCATCAAGCCTACAATGGCAGCACTTTGAAGCAGCCACATCTTCTACGTACGTTGGAATCTTACAGAGCTCTCTTTCTTACTTTTCGATAGCTTTTGCATCAACTTTGCTTCTCCCAATGTTCGTGATTTATGTCTGTTTTGGAACTTGTTGCATTAGTGTAATTGTATTAACCGTGTGTTTTAAATGCTTAAAAGCCATCTCACCAGGGGGAACAGAGATTTTCACGAAATAAGTAATGTCATGCAAGAAGTATATTTGTCAATTTGCAAAATATTCATGCTGATTTGGCAGTTGCTCATTTTCTACTTTCATTTTTAAATCGTGACACAGTTGACGTCGTCACTTTTACGGGGTGGAACCACCTCCTTCTTGATGAAAACGATAAAAATAAAGAAATCCTCCGACGAAAGTTCATTCATTTTGTTATAAAGACGTAACGTAACGTGCGGACCAGTGAATCGAAACGTTTGCACTGAACTAACTAGCTTCAGATTTGAGATATGATTTTACTGTCTTCCTCCGAGTAGCTCGATACACGTAAACAGTAAGAGCATGCGAACTTGTTTACCCCAATCCGTTGTTTTGACAAAGTTGAACATGAGAGAATCGGTTAAGTGTCTCCATATCACAGCATGACTTACATTAGCTATCGTATTTAGTTAAGTGACCAGTTATATAATAAGTCTATTAGACTACGTTCGAAGTAAACAAAGTCCCACGATTAAAAAAGTGAATGATATGTGCGTGACCCAAATCTACAACCCTTGAATTTTGGAATATTTTGCAATTAATGTAATTACTTATCGCTGTCTAATTCTGATGTCACTTCGATATGCGCTCTCATTCATTTTGTTAGGTGTACACATATTGACTGAGTGAGTCACCCCAACCCCTTTCTCTACCACCTTCGGAGTTATAAAGATTTGAACTGTTCTTAATTCCAATTTGTATCTTGCATCTTTATGCAACTGTGACGAGATCAATGGCAGCAATTTTTGTATTGTGCCTTTATAATGTCATCAAAATGGGTAAAACAAAAAATTCTATTGTTTGATACCAATTCTAGATATCTCCAATATATAACACACTACACAGAAAATTGGCGTTTGATTGCAGCATACATCTACTACTTTGGACAAGTTCACACAACACATTTTTTCAAGAGCTTAGTATAAATTTATCATTTTGTCATAAACTTCATATTTACAGAATGACTGCACAGAGCCTTCCTTCACAGTTGATTACTAGACATCACCTCAAGCTATTTTAATTACAGACATCCAATTGCAGTTTTAATTAAATTTAATCTTTTTAATTTTAACAAGGTGTTCACTGAATGGCTGTGGCTTGCTCTATCAACAAAAAGTAGTTATTGGACACTAAGATGTATATTGTTTACAAGTCTATCAAATTTTGTTCAACTGTAAATCGAATTATCGTATTTAGTTCAAGCCATAGACCGCCTCAAATTGTTGGACGGTATCTTTAAACACACCAGCGCTGCGTTTAATAATGTCCGTTTTCTCAGGCTCGTTTATTTCCACATTGATCTCGGTAGTGCTGCCCTTCTTAACGCTGAACTCGCGCGTTTCGACAACATTGCCGTCAACAATGACGTCCATTTCATAATCGCCGTAGAAAGCGCGAAACCCGGATGTTTGTTCACGCATGTGCTTCTCTGGCAGGGTGAGATAGCCATCTGTTCTCCATTCTTTCTTGAATAATCTATTCACCGTCCACCCAGCCTGATTAATCTGAAATCGTTTTAAACTATTTTGAAAGATTTCTAGTATGAATTTATCTGTGAGTAGACTAAATAATGTGATCAATCTTGAAATATTGTAATGTATCACTGCCAACCCTATGCGTCATTCTAGAGAACAAAAGGCTCAATTCCCAATGTTGGGTTTTTTACTCACATCGAAATCTTCCGAGTCAACGAGGCTTGTGTCCGGTGTGGTAAGACTGCTATCCCAGAATCCCCTGAAGAAAATGCTGTCAACGTTTGGTTGGGCGAACGCAACACGGAGAAACTTCTCGATGTCATTGGCGCGTTCAACAACATCCTTACGTTGGACTTGAAACTGGGAAAGCATAATTGGGACGCCAGCTTGTGCAAGGATATCAAAACGAGCCTACAAATAAAACGTTAAAAATTCGTTCATACAGCCAAGGCATTAACTTTCCTTCAAAATGTTAATTTATTACTTGAAATACATATTTTAATAATATTATATGGCGGATACATAATCTTGGACAGCCCTTATCAACTGAAAACCCCCAAAATGTAGGTCCAAAATCACAAAGCTTATAATAAGTAAATACATGCATGTAACATGTAACAAATATTAAAACGTGGACGCCTTGGACAACTCTAAATGTGAACCCCTTTTTCCATATCCCATTTTTATCCCATGTTAAAAAAACTTAAAATGTAAACACCCGCCAATCCGAACACCTCTTGTCGGTCCAAATGGCGTTTGAATTAGACAGGTCCAGGCTGCGTTCGGATTAGAAAGGTTATACTGTACTTTGAAAGTCGAAAGTATTTACCGCAATTCGTATGGGATCTACTGCGTTCGTTTCCAGGAAAGTTCCCTGCGCATCGAGCTGAGGCGAGTAGCCAGCAGCCTTCAGAGTTTTGATTTGGTTGACCATAGCCTGAAATGTAGATAATTATGTGATTTAGTATTTTTGAATCTAAAATGTAATTATTATGCTAGCTTTACAAAAAAGGTATAATACACGTCTTTACACGATGTAACACATCACTACAAAAGACGACACTAGGCTATATTTTATCTTATTGCGCTCTTATGTAAAACTGCTAGAACCAAGTATGAGGTTGTATAAAGTTTGATACGTGAAAAAACAAACGATTTCAATTAATCATATTTAACCAATATTTTACTAACGGAAGCATAGTCGGGTTGTTGTATGGCGAATCTGTCGCTTAGCACTAAATCAGCAGAGCTATCGGCAGCACTCGTCCAATTAAACATCTTAGTTAGAATATCATAATCTTCCGTATACTTCTCGAAATCCCCTCTCTTGCTGATGCTTTCTCGGCTCACCAGCCATTGGTTTACCCTGAAGAATAAACTATTGTATAACATACCTAGCGAAGCATTTGTATGGAAGTCAATGGAGCTGAAGGACGGCTATATATTCCTGTATAGCCGCCGAACTTTTTTACCATGACAATTTTATGACGTCAAAACATGGAAACAAAGTGATTTCGACTGGAATCGTGTAAAATTTTGGTCTTTTTTCACCCATTATTCTACATAATACTTTCATGGAATGCAATGTAAATGTACTTTAGGTATGTAATACATCAATTATGTCCGTATCATTGAATATATGCCTCGCAAGCTCGGGCTATATTGACGTCAGACTTCAGGCATATATTCAATGATAGGGACATAATGGCTAAGTATAGGTTGGACAAGAGGCCGTACGTATTTATTCCCCTTAATTAGTTTAAAGGGTTCCGATTAGCATCCCGTATAAAAACAATATGGCGGCTCCAGGCGAATCAACTGGATCAGTCCATTTTTAAGAAATAAGGGGAGTGATTGCGTTCAAATAATACATGTACAACAGCCAATATAAATTCTTGTATTAGAACACGGTTTGTCTTGCTTTGTTTCATTTGTAGGATATTTCATATGCCAAGCTGTGTGCTATTACGTTATGGGGAAATTTAGATGCCAATTTTTCCTTATTATACACAAATAGAAGATCCTGAAACTTCACCCATAAATGTGGAATTGATTTGTCAAATAAAAATCACCCTTTTATAAATGTGTGACGATCTATAATATACGTATGCTATATAACAGTTAGAGGTGTTGACACAACGACCTCGAACCTGTGAACCCTTGAGTATTATTCCGGGATCGGGCCTTTTATACTAAACGGTGAGCAACACCAGAAACGAGCGTTCGATTTGCTAAACGATATGCGTCACCCTTTAACAACCAAAAGTTTTCATATCATATCAAAGCCTATTAATGTTTTGGTCTTAATTGTGTTCCTAATTCCGATATTTCAAAATGTATAACTTATATGATTTTTTGAATCCACAAACACAGACAGGCGTTGATAAGTGATCCAAAATGGGGGGATGTAGCTTTAACATAGGAACCCGGATGTAACTGCTCAGCCATTGGTCAATATTTGTTAATAAGGAATTTTGATATTGAAAATTTATATTCGTTTGAGCGAAGCGATTTAAGAATATAAATACTTTCTATATATGTGCAGTGAAGTGAAGAAAAGGCATGAATCATGATTTGGTGATGTAGCATGCTGTTCGAGTTGAGCAAAGATTTTTGTGTGTTAGGCCTTGTTTATGCCTGGGTCACATATGCTCCGATCCATCGGCCGGCGCCCGGCCGATTGAGTATGTGACCAAGGCATTAGTGAGTGAGTTTTATGAATTGAGAAGTCATTCTGGGCTTGGTCGCCGAACAGTCAACTCCAAAAAAATTTAAGCAAAATTTTTTAAAAAGCTATTTCTGCATTCAAACAGATTTTACCTATGATTGGGTCTGATGGGTTGAGAGGTGGGGTTATACCTTTCCATAGGGCATCGACTTCAGTCGAATAGCATCTTTGGTTTTAATGGTGATCAACCACCTTGATATCAACCAGGCAACAATTAAACGTTGCATACAACTGTTTTACTAATTGTACAATATACCCGACACAGTTTCTGCCATATGTACACGTATAATAGGATTTACAAATAAGCAGGCCATGCAAACAGTCTTACAAAACGATATCAATCAAAAGTATTGTAAACATCTTGTCACATGTACACATACTAGTATTTACAAATAAAGGGTAGCGACCACAAGCAAAAGTGTAGCGGCCACAAGCCAAAGCTTGATCTAAATTAAAGGTGTGTTGTGTTGTGTTGTGTAACATGCCGTGTACGTAACGTGACGTACAGAATAGAATTCATATTATCAAAAAGAGTTACAGATTTTAAACCTTCACTTAAATTCTCTGGCAAAGTACAATGACCACTTACTCCAGCTTTAGTTCCGACCACTGTATGTTGTCCCAAATTTAAGTCACATTTTACTCGTAAATACGATGGCAATAATTTAAACTTCATTGCTCCTGCTTTTAATCCGCGAGACAGCTGCCCCCTAACGTTCGTTTTTCTTGATATTGTGACTTTGAATATGAATTTGGACTTACTTGCCCTTATACCGCCCGACAAGGTCCTTCGCTCGTTTCTCCATTTTTTCAACTTTCTCATCTGAAGACAAAGCCGTGAACCAGTTAGGCCAGAATCCTTTATCATTCCAAAATACTGATTGCCCAAGAACATTCACCCTACAATTAATAAGTCAATTTTGTCAAATTAATTCCGGGTTCAATTTAAAGTCTCTCAAGAGCACAAAAATGCAAGGATCATAAAATTCTTAGGAAACATGATATCGAGCAACTGAATCTCGTATCACATATAGACAGAAGTTGGAATGGTATTTACTCTTAGAATTGTTTTGTGCTTTTCGTGTACCTACCCACGTTCATTTAAAGCATATGCAGCCCTGTCGCCTCCAAGCCACCACGGTTCATCCTTAAATCGAATAAAACCCATACATCATCTCGTACATAATGACTTCTTGACCGCGTTTGTGACGAAGCTTTTATATTGATAATGGTCGAAAATGTATTAATGATGTATTATACTAAGAAATTTTAATCATCCCTTCGTTCCTAATTTCAAATTACTAATATTATGTAAACCTCCTATTTGCTGTACACTCAACTATAAGGTTTGGCATCTGGATGATCCCAATTATGTTTTGAACTATCTGTCAGGAATCCTTCTGATACAAATATTTGGAATTGAGAAAATTGGAATTTGAAGTTCTTAATAACCTGATAATTGTACTAAATGAAATACCTGGTGATACTCTGTGACCCTCCATCTAAAGGCGGACATGGGAGTACCGGAGTTGAACGTATCGTAGAAGTAATCTTGATATCGCTGCCTGACTTCATCGCTAAACCAAGACCCATTGATGAGCTGCCATCGGACGAAAGCACCAAGCTTAAAGTCGTGTCGAAGCTGTCTTATCTAAGAAGGATTGCAAATGAATTAAAAGCGAAAGGGCATGGGTCAGTGAGAGGCACATTACGTGTTCGGATCCTTTTTTGTTGACTGATTTTTTACATTTCGCTCTGAGCATATAATAATTTGATTCTGTGTTCAGGAAAATGATGCAAACCATTTTCAGATTTTTAATACACTTCACCGTAGTGTTGAAACAAAAACATTTTTATATGTGTGTGTTAATATTTAATTATATTGCATCATACTAAGCCTTGAATTCGATGTCTTTCATATCAGTAAAAGAAAATACCGACTTAGGCAAGGCTACATCATACCTTAAAATGAACAAAGCTTGGGTCCATGTTGTAGTTAATTTTCACACTGAAAACAATACATAAATATCACTGGGGGGGGGGGGTTGCGTTTGGCTTCTATATATACAGGAAGCAGAGATCTAACAATTACTTTTAAAACACCGTTTAGTAAAATATCAAGCATATGATTATCCATATATATTCAACTATTATAAATAGATCAACCTTATAGCAAAACACGAAATATCTTACTTGACGTTTACATCTCCTTTTCTATGTTCGTCAATCATTTCATTCGCTGCAGCTTCCCAGTCCTCCTCTGGAGTGATCCGTCTCAAACTCACCTCATCAATGGCGAAGTTTACATACTGACTTGAAGGGCTCGAGAAATAGACCCTCTGTTTAGTCGCTGAAGTACAAAGAAAATTTTTTTCTTGTGCTTAATCTTACACGGAAATGAAGATTATACATTAACAAGCATTGAACAACCATAAAAATATTGTTACTTTATACATTAACAAACATTGAACAACCATAAAAATATTGTTACTTTACGCCATTTAATTCATGTTTATTGTATAATATTGCATAGCCATACGGCCTTTTTATGAAATAAAAACTGCACTACACTGCACTGCACTGCACTGCACTGTACTGTACTGTACTGCACTGTAATGTATTATAAACAGTCAAAGTGTGTACTTCCATTACAATATCTGCAGTGATTGATAATATCTACTTACTGTTGCTTGGAACTACGAATTCTCCAGCAATTTTCACCCAACCGTCAGTGTCTCTCAGTCGGGGATATCGTGCAATTTTGGGGTATACTTTCTTTCCTAAAATAAGTGATTAATATTGGTTTATACCATCATTTTTCTATTCTCAGGCAGATGTATATGACATGGTTTCTAAATGTACATATGACGTGCACGGACCTGGGGACAATTCGGGAAATGCGGGCTTATCTCAGCTTTGAACGTTAATCTCTGCCTTATTTAAAAAGTCAACTATGTGTTTTACATATCATTTATTCGCATTTCAATGAAATTATTTTTCTTTCCAAATTTTGATGGGATCCAACACATTTTTAAAGTTAAATATACTCCGACATCGTCAAATACGCTGTAAGACGTAACACTTTACGCTTACAGGGCTCGTTGGAATTGAGATAACTTTTGAAATAATGATCAAAATCCCACTTAAATTTCACAATTTATTCAATGGAACATTTGCATTTATGACGTCACAATTGCTTAACGGCTACATTTCAAATTATCTTATACGAACGCTTTTAAAATTTTCAAAATTGTGTAAGGTTTTGAAGGCGAATGGGACGAGCAATAAGTTTACCTTCATTTAACCTTCTAATTTAGGTCTGATTTGAAAGAAAATTTAACTGCACAATATTGTCAGGGCGAAATTGTTTATTTTGCAAATAATATCAAAAAAAGAGCTGGTTTTCGAGACTTGAAAAAATGTGACGCATCGATTTTTTACCACAAATTCCATACATATCAATTTTTACTAACGCCCCAAGTGGATTTCTTGACCGTTTTTCAAAATTCAAAAACATTTTAGAAATATTGTCCTCGAGATCTTGCTACCCTGTAAATTTTGTAATGATTAGATAAGAATAAAGTATTTTATTTTTAGGTTGACTAAACTTGTAAAAAATGTGACGCTTGTCGTTTTTGACGTTGTAAGGCTGTTTGCGCCCTATACTGCTCATTGTTTTGTTTTGTTTTTTTGACGCCATAATGTTACGCTAATTGTCCCCAGTTTCGTGCGACGTGTAACACGTTTTATATTTTAAGTCCCCGTCTAAAGTTTGAAAATATTTTTTTATCATTCATTTACTATTTGTCAGGACTTAAAAAGTGATTTTAGAGACTTTTGAACAAAAAAAAAATTTTGAAAAAAAAGTTGTGAGCATTTCATTTCTCAAATATTTAAATTTCCCGCAATTTTTCAAAAAAAGTTGAAATTTCTTAATCATCAAATATTTCTTAATGCAATTCAAAAAAGATTATCTTTTTAACACCAATGCAAAGATTGAACAAAAGACACACTATTTCAATAATAAAATGTCATATTTAATGGGCCACTTTAATGTTTTAGCTTATCAAAAATATTTTGAAACATTAGTGATGTCACTAAGGTAACAAAAACTTTTTGAAAAAAATTGAATTTTTTTTTTCGATGTCAATCTTTTCTAAATATGCTAGGCTTTCATAAAAAAAACAATGTTGATTGTCTAACCAGGTTAAAAGGAAGAATAAATTATGTTTTAGATATCATTGTACCATTGGTTTCTATGAGAACTAAAATTTTGAAATGCATTTTTCTCAGAACCATTTTCATGCACTGATAAGTTCATTTCTCGCTTGTTTATGAACCGATTTTCTTAATTTTTTCGGCGAAAAATATGGGAGGATGTATGCTATGCATTGGTATGAATTGTGGCTAATTAGAAGATATGAGTGACCTCTAAAAATTGGTTTTAAATAAATTCACAAATTTTGGAACAAAAAGTCTATCAAAAACCACTTTTTGAAATTTAAAAAAAAAGTTTCACATTTCACACTTTGATAACATTGGATAAGACTACAATATAAGCCAAAGTGGTTTAAACTTTACATGGGGCCTTTAACAAAAATAGTGATCCATAATTCTGATTTTCTTTATTGAAATAAAACCTCCACCAACCGTCTTTATCAAGATAGTTGAACATCATGTCCATCCTGAACCAGTCATAGCCGATGACCTCGGGATGATTCAACAGCTTAACGTATGCCTCCATGTAGTAGTTCCCTGGCTGTAGAGCACGGTCTCCTTTGAGCCACTGGCCGAGAAGCCCCCATTTCGATCTCCTAAAAAATATGGTATCGTTAAACGTTCATGACGTTTCAATTACTGTACACGTATTCCAGGAAGAGGGCGATCTTGATCATGTCCAATATCAGATATGTTACGCGGTAAACACGATACAAAAATATGTCATATTCCGCAACGAATATGGCATATTCACTTGCGGTGTATGACAGATTCACCTGCGGCATATGGCATACACACTAACCAATGAGAACGTGATACGGAAGTACGCAATTGTCAATTGCATCGATTGAACGAACAAGTACAAAACGTTATTAATTATTATAATGATTACTGAATCAAACATTATCGAATATATTAACTTAGCAGACGTATCACTCGTGTAATAAACTTACTCAATCAATCCAGGATTCATATATTAGTACTCGACGCACTAACTATAGTGGTAATCCAGCGTAGTTTTACATTTAGAGTCGATTCTCGCAACCAATCAAATCAAGGCTTTCTGTATCACGTTTTCACCTGCGGTATATGTCATATTCACCTGCGGTATATGGCATATTCTGCAAGTGAGTATGACATATTCCGCAGGTGAGTATCGGGTATTCACTGAAATCAATGTATCGCATATTCACTGCGGAATATCGCATACTCACCTGCGGAATATGCCATATACCGCAGGTGAGTATGGCATATTCACCCGTATCACAAATACCGCGCAACCATGAATGTATGCCATATACCGCGTAACAAGATATGTGTAACAAGATGCGTGATTTAGTGCTGACTTACACGTGTCGTTTAACAAATACATGCAATGTTTATTTACACGTTACTCTCTGAATACTGGGGTATAAACACATGAGAAGATAAAATATTGCCTTATTATATGATTCTAATATCAGCGGTTGTTAATTTCAAACGTACTGTATCACTTTTCAAAATAATACATAATAATTCACTATAAAATGCTGATGCTTTACTACACAATTGGAAAAGGTAATTAAACAATGTTCTTACTTGTCTGTTATGGCAGCAGCTTTGCCCTTAAATCCTTGGATCTGGGAGACTTTGGCATGTAGGGGCCACCACTGGTAATCGGAGCTCCACCTATCGGACTCCATATCTCCGTTTGTTAAAAGCTCATCCTTTTCTAGTTTGTAGATCCCGAGACTGTTCGATTGAACACACCATAATGTCAAAAGACATAGCCGAAATAGTATACCCATTTCTGTCATACTGCTGGTCCCGGTGCAGAAAACTGAGAAAAGCGGAGACAGGTGAGTATGCCGTTTCTTCTTTCTTCTTGGATTTCACTAAATACTTTTTGCTTATGCTTTCCTCACTGGCCCGTGATTTAATTTCAAAATGTTACGCTATTATGATCGTGTCTTAAAAACTTGAAAACACCAGCGGGATAACTCACGAAGTTTCGAGTGAGACGATAATCTTTAATGGAAAGTACAAATGATTTAATTTTTGAGAAAAGTGGTCAAATCTTTCCATTATAAGTTCACGCTGGGCATTAATGGATGTAAATGGTACTGTGACAACGCTTGACATAATCCCAATTATCGACCTAACACGAAAACAAACCATAATAGTACATAGGTCACTTTGGGTGTTTTGAAGTAAATTACATATTTGCTGGATCCTTTCAATTTTGTCAAGTATAAAAATGATTATGTAGCCTTATTTTTGTTTGGAGTAAAAGAAAATGAGATTGTTTTCAAAATTTATTTATACATAGCCCCGACTGTATCTAACTTATAATCCAAATTCGACCAACAGATAAATATAAGAAAAAATATGGATATGAATACTCAGGCTTTAGCTCCTTTATTTATTTAAATCTAGCCATTTATCTGAATCTGGGTTACTTATTTATGTACATACATGTAGTTGGAACTCGGTACAGGTAGGTATCAATACATCAAGGACAATATTTTTCGGCCGTTTTTTAACCTGTAGATGTGAAGTAGCTGTCTTATTATCCACGTGGGTTCGCGATCCGTCACTGTGAGGCTAAATTTGGGCATGGTGTGAGGGATTGCTGTATAACTAGTCATTTTGCCCACCGTGTCCAGCCGTCTGTCTCAAAAGTTTTCACTTGGTGGCCCACACAGGCCTGAGTGTGACAGCTAAATTGGAGCAAATGTTGCGTTAGTCCATTGTCTATTTATTGTCTACATTTGATTTAATCAGTACTAGCTCACTTTTCAGATTTTTTGTTCAAATCATGCTGGGCTCATTGAAAAAAGCATGAATTCGGCAATAGTTTGTTAAGGTTTTTCTAAGGTTGTCTATGGTGATTTGAAAAGTTCACTATCTATTTGTCAATAATTTTCGAATTTTGTGCGAGAAGTTAACTGTTTTTGCTGTTTTAATTCAAATATACATGTAGACATAAGCAACGGGGGTACACATGTTTCAAGTATAACGAAATTCGTGTTGCCATATGTATGGAGAAAGGTGGCCACAATACGGTTTAATATAATCTAAACTTTGTTGCAAATAAACGTTTACAACAAACATTTAGATCTATTATATTTCCTCAGCAAAATGTTAACAGAATGAATCTTCAACTTTACAAAAAACACAATATTCTTGAATAGTTAGGCAGCTGTTACCTTCCAGACAACAAATTCAACGTTGCTGTCTAACATGTCCATATTTTTAGTAATCAAGGTTTATATATTCAAAGATATATCTAAAAAATAGTTCAACTTATCATAGATCCACTAATCATAAATCAAATAATGGATTCATAGTTTTCGTAAGATTCATTAGAATCAATGTAGATGAACGAATGCAACGTTCGGGTTGCAAATCATAAGTGTATGCTACTTTGTCCACGTAATGAATCTGATTACAATAATGCGTTGAATTGTGTCATATCTGCAGAGTATACACTGCGCTTCTCAACAGAGTCGCCATGCTTGGGGTTGTTGATCTCCACATTAACTTCAGTAGTGACGTCTTTATGAACGCTGAACTCACGCGTTTCGACGACCTCACCATCAACAATGACGTCTATTTCGTAATCACCGTAGAATGCTCGAAAGTCGGTAGACTGAACCCTCTTGAACAGTTCTGGGAGGGTCACATATCCATCAGTTCTCCACTCCTTCTCAAACAGTCGACTGACGGTCCATCCTGCTTCGTTTTTCTGCAACATAATTGTGGCATAATTTTACGAAGACGTGGAAACTAACTTCGAACTCATTCATTCACAGGCCCGTAAGACACTTTTCTCCAAGGGGGGTGCGGTTTTTAGCTTCCTAAAGAGAATATAAAATTGTCAATTTTTTGCCGCGTAAATCAAGGGGGGGGGGGCTCAGTTACTCCTTATATTGGTTTGGAATTAACAAATGCAACTTCCAAACGTTCCAATTGTTTTGTGGGGGGTGTGAGGAGTGGTCCACTCCCCCTAGAAAATTTTACAGTTTTGAGATGCTATTTGGTGCTTTCTGGGCACTTTCAAAGTGTAAGTTTCCAAGTAGTACGCCACCACCACGGGAATAAGAGTTGAATGAATAAAAAACCGAGCATTCAGGGGGTCTGGGGGGTGTCTGTGCCTCAAAGTGCCTATTTCCCAAGAATATTTTACAATTTTAAGATTCTATTTGATGCTTTCTGGGCACTTTCAAAGAGTACGAGTCAATAAAAAATATTTGAAAAATCTTTTTTTGGGGGGGGGTGCCAGAGGGGGAGGTGGAGTGGGGATGCCAGAGGGCGAGTAAGTGTTAGTCTTCCAGAATCATTAACTTTATCGAGGAGCTATTTGATGATGTCTGGGCAATTTAAAAGTGTCTGAGACAATACAAAAAACAAATTCAGAACTTTTCCATTGTTTTGTTTGGGGTGTGAGGCGTGGCCCACTCCCCCTACTTATTTCACAGTTTTACGACGCTATTTGGTGCTTTCTGGGCACTTTCAAAGTGTATGAGTCAATTAAAGAATTTGAGAAAATCACAATTTTTTTTTGGGGGGGTCAGGGGGGGGGTTCAGTGGGGGGGGGGCGCCAGAGGGGGGGGGGTTATGCAAGTGCAAGATGCAAAAGGGGGAGCAAGTCCCCCAGAAACACTAACTATATCAATGAGCTATTTGATGATGTCTTGGCACTTTAAAAGTGTCTGAGACAAAACACTAAAATAAATTTAGAACTTTTCCATTGTTTTGTGGGGGGGGTGTGAGGAGTGGCCAATACCCCTAGAAAATTTTACAATTTTAAGATGCTATTTGGTGCTTTCTTGGTACTTTCAAAGTGTATGAGTCAATGAAAAATATTTTGGGGGGTGACAAAGGGGGGTGCGGTCGCACCCATCGCACCCCCCCCCCCATCTGACGGCCCTGATTCACGATATGTGTTTTAATGTAGTTATATTAGAAACAACAAATTATTCGAGTCTATATGGGACGTTTTTACATGGATATATAGAAAACCACAGCAAGACACAACTCAAGGCAGCACTCAGTTCAATGCGAATTCTTCATTTAATATCTAGAGCATTGGTACATACATTGACTTCATTGGTGTCTACAAGGCTTGTATCAGGCTGAACCAGCTTTTCGTCCCAGAATCCATCCAGTGTTATTCCTTCTACTTTGGGATGAGCAAACGCAACTCTCAGGAAGTTTTCAAGGTCATCGGCACGTTTGATGACGTCATCACGTTGAACATGTAACTGCGATACCCAAATTGGAACATCCGCTTCGGCAAGTATGTTTAGTCGCGTCTGGAAATAACAGTGTAAAATTACTTTACATTTTTTTCAATTTTAGCATTTTTTTGGCTCATATTATTCCCTGCCTTGTGTTTTCTCTAAAAATACCCAATGTGCATACTTTCTTTTTCTACAAATGTGGTCACCAAATTTATTGTCTGGGAGTATATAGAGATTATATAGGATAATATGTTTATCCCATACCAATCTTGGTCATCTGGTTCACATTGTTCAATAGTTGAAATATTTTAGAATATTCATGTCCAGTTTTGTTTTCTTGGCCGTGGGCATATTTTCCTGTTCTCTCAAAGATTCCCACAATTATTTTCTCGAATTTTTGATTGATTAAGTGGATGCTCCTTCCCTTTTTTAAACCATCAAACAGATCACGATTGTCTGTGTTTTCTCCATTGTCGTTTACAGTCAATACGCGAACGTGACAAATTATGAACAAATATGCGAGCGGCGATTATGACGTAGCGGGCAGATATACTATATCTGCCCGCTCGGAGCGGGACGTATTTAGCTATATCTGCCCGCTGATGAAAATATAAGTTTTTACAAACCGGCTTTATGTACCTCACCGCGACCAATTTTGCACTTGAAATCTTAAAAATGTCACCGCTTGATATTCCCTATCCCTATATAAAAAGTTTAATAGTATGTATTTTAAAATTATAATTGCAGAGCGGGATGTATTTCGTAATTTACACGTCTCGTATAGTTTGGCAACCGGATGTCCCCATTGGACCACATATTAAAACATTTTCATGTTCTAGATTTAAAAAATATCTGTAATACACTGTAGTGTATCTATACTTCGTTATTTTTTGACCTATTGAAATTGAGGAATAACATTTTGAAAAACATTAACAGTCGTTAAGCGCGCCATCCAATGATAAGTGCATGTTGCCAAACTTAGGGAGGAGTGTATCTATGAAACACGAACCTCTTACCATAATTTTGATTGGCTCGACAGGATAGTCGTCATCAAACTGGCACTGGACGTCAATGTGGGGAGAATGGCCGGCATCTTTGAGTCTGTTAATCTGATGAACCATTGCCTGGGATAGAATACAATACGATCAACAGAATGGTATCCAAACATTGGCATACTCCTTAAGACTTCCCTCTGTAATGTACATGTTCACTGGGAATCTCAAACAGTATTATACAAAATAGGTTTAATGTCAAACATGAAAGCATGAACATAAATAAGCATAGCATATGCATATTTTATCTTAATTTGTCAATGCATCGTTTTGTTCTTTTCATCTACCATAGTAATACTATGTGGAAGCAAACCTTAAACATGGTACTGTGTTGTAAATTAAACAAATGACTGATGATTTTTTCCTTTAAATAAATAAAAAAAATGCCAATGGTATAACGTCTCTTAAGACGAAATATTTAACCACTGTACTGTATTGTAAAATTGTTAAATGTAGGATTACATGTAACTGTACTGTAATTGTTTTTTGCAATTGCTTTAACATGCTTATTCTTTGAAATAAAAAAATTATAAAAAAAAAAAAAAGTATTGTAACCTCATTGTACTTACGGAGCTTAAATAGGACATTCTGACAACATCGTTGTTGCTTAGTAACAGCGTTGCATCTTCATCCGCAGCTCTAGCAAAGTCAAACATCTTAGTCAAAATATCAAGATTCTTTGTATATGTCTCAAAGTCGCCTTTTCTTGATAAAGTATCTTCGCACACAACCCATTGATCGACGCTGTAAGAAAACACAACTAGCCTATCATGAAAAACAAGAATTTTAAGCTTTGAACCATTTGAAAAAATAAAAATATACTTTTATTTAATGGCTCGCCATGTTCAAATAAGTTAAAAAGTACAATCTATTTAAATAATAGGCTTTAGGGAGTTTAAGCTTGCATTTAAAATCGAAACGCCAACCTATACGTATAACCAATCACCCATACAAATGCATCGCTTAAATATTTTCCCTTCACGTTTAGGTTTTGAAAAACATTGCAAGCTTAAACTCCATTACATCAATTAGAAAAAACTGAACTCAAAAGTAGTTTTTCAATCGCATATTTTTCTATTTATTACCTTCCCTTGTAACGTCCGATCAGATCATTCGCCCTTTTATTCATGGCTTTTACCAATTCTTCGCTATCCATGTTTTTCACCCATCGTGGCCAACGACGAGCATCATTCTCAAACACAGGTTGTCCATAAATATTCATCCTAAAATATTTGAATATTTCTGAAATTAGCCAGACTACCCCACTCAAGAGTAACCTTAGTAACCATATTTTTCATCAAACTAGAGTTGAATCAATACATCCTGGCATTCTTATCTGTGCTATTATTAATACATTGTTAAAATTTGAAAGAAAGTGTCACAAAACTCCTAATTTAAGGCACCTTTCTCAGAATGTATTGATTGTCCTAGTACATTTTGAAACCATTTTAACAAATAAGTGATACGATGAGTTAAGTAGTCGAACATGCTAAGCTCGGAGCAGTCAGAGTTGCCGTGAGTTCGAGTCACGTGACCCACTTGAATTTATTCATTCCATTTGTTAAGTGAACTTATGAAGAATTCGTTACTCCTTAACTAGGCGAGTGCTGAATAGTTAAACTTAAGCAAGTGAGAGCGATACACACCCGAGGGCCGTCCCAGTCATTTACATCCATGGACCTCCGAGGTCAAACAATATTCCACGCCTTGGTTCAACACACTAAGAAACGATCTCACACCCCTCCCACAACCATTGTAAAATTACTTACCCATTTTCTTTGAGAGTGTAAACTGCTGGGTCACTATTCTTCCAATCTAATTCATCCTGGAATGTAATACGTAAAAGGGACTTATAAAACCTATTCTTAATTAAACTGATAAGTAGTTAAATTAAGGGGAAACAATGCCAAGGAAGTATCAACCTTTTATTTTGTAATAGTCCCGTGTTTAGTGCCAATCAAATTAAAAACTTTGCCTTGCTACCTATTAGAAAATTGTATTTTAGGAGAAACTATATCGGCCCCAAAACATAGACACCATGCTGACGTACATAAATATTGTCAGGCCTATTACAATCTCTTACCTGTGTAGGTTCTACTTTGCTCCACTTGAAGCGCAAGGCTGGCGTCGCGGAGTTGAAATTGTCGTAGACGTAGTCCCTGTAGCGGTCCTTGAAGTCCGGTGCGTAATTGTTAGAAGCATTAATAATCTTCTCTGCCACATAAACGCCCAGCTTAAAATCATGGTTTAACTGCCTTACCTGAAATGGTAAAAAGGGATTGGCCTGATAGATTATGTCTTAAAACATTAGTTTAGTTAATAGAAAAATCCACAATCGGATATTTAACATTATCTATTTCAAAGGCTGTGCATGCTGGCTTAGTTCGCGATTGATATGACGGACGTTGGTTCATCAGATAATAAACGGAACAGAAACATAATCATAATGAATTGTAGTCACCAAAAATTTCAATTTCAATCTATTTAGTGTAATGAAATCCTATCTATTTTACTAGTGAACGACTAAAATGAAGCCAATTTTTTGCCTGTGTTATAACTGTCTTTATTGAATTACCTCGAATCCTACGAAGCTTGGGTCAAGGTTGTAGGTTATATTCACGCTGTAATATATAACATTATTTATCTCATGATCATTGCAATATAAGGAAGGATATAATATTTTTGCATTTCAAATCTTCAATGGTAATTTCCCCAAATTATAACATATTGCAGATCTTTTCAGAAACATCATATTCTAGATCATAAGGAATATATTGGTAGGTCAATTGTAAATTTTGCTTGTTATTTTGTCACGCCTTATGATCTAATTCTGCCTTTACTATCTTACATCCCTTAGATCACTACAGAATCCTGATTTCTGTACCTTAATTTTACATTCCCCTTTCTATTTTCGTGTATCATTTCATTGGCAGCTATTTCCCAATCAGCCACTGGAATAATTTGCTTCAGACTGACTTCGTCCACTGCAAACTTCAGGTTCTTGTCTTTGGATTGGAAGAGAACCATCAGTTCTGTACCTAGAAATCAAAACAAAAACTTAAAATTGGAAAAGAAAAAACGAAAATGTACAAGATATACTATTACTAATCCAAAACACCAAAATATTCTTTTAATAATGGTATGCAACTTACGCAACCAAAATATAATGTCACTTACAATTTGATGGGAGCTCGAATTCACCGGCAATTTTCACCCATCCATCGTCCGACCTTAGACGGGGGTATCCATTCAAAATACTAAACTTGTTTTTATTTTCTGAAATAAAATATGATCATATATAATTACACGTCGCACGAAACTGGGGACAATTAGCGTAACATTATCACCCTTGGTATACGCAGCTAACGAAAAGTGACCGGTACGGGTCAAAAGCTGGACCGGTACGGGTTAACGGTTTTATTTGAATTTAAAACAGCCATAACTTGCTCAATATTGACTTCCTCGTGTCTAATTTGAAATATATGATGCCTCCTGATGCTTTTAAGTACCCCAATTTTTTACAGATTTTTAAACTGACCAAAACTCTCTAAATGCGCATTTATGCTCTTTTCTCTCATGAACGACTGTCTCATTTTCACGATAACTTTTATTTAGTACTTCTAACATATAAGATCTATTTTTCCCCATCAAGGTATGATGTAAATGGCATGCTATTTACATCTTGTGAGTTTCAATGACGCGCGTTTGATTTTATAAAAAATGCCAAACTTTGTGACAGAGAATTTCATCCTGCTTGCAGCGAGAAGACGGACCGGTTCGGGGCAATCTGCTTGCAACGAGAAGACGGACCGGTTCGGGGCAATAGCTGATGAAATTCTTTGTCACAAAGTTTGGCATTTTTTATAAAATCAAATGCGCGTCATTGAAACTCACAAGATGTAAATAGCATGTCATTTACATCATACCTTTTTGGGGAAAAATAGATCTTATAAGTTAGAAGTACTAAATAAAAGTTATCGTGGAAATGAGACAGTCGTTCTCGAGAGAAAAGAGCATAAATGCGCATTTAGAGAGTTTTGGTCCGTTTAAAAATCTGTAAAAAATTGGGGTACTTAAAAGCATCGGGAGGCATCATATATTTCAAATTAGACACGAGGAAGTCAATATTGAGCAAGTTATGGCTATTTTGAATTCAAATAAAACCGTTAACCCGTACCGGTCCAGCTTTTGACCCGTACCGGTCAATTTTCGTTAGCTGCGTATACCAAGGGTGATTATGGCGTCAAAAAACCAAAACAAAACAATAAGCAGTATAGGGCGCAAACAGCCTTACAACGTCAAAAACGACAAGCGTCACATTTTTTTCAAGTTTACTCAACCTAAAAATAAAATACTTCATCCTTATCTAATCATTACAACATTCACAGGGTAGCAAGATCTCGAGGACAATATTTCTAAAATGTTTTTGAATTTTGAAAAACGGTCAAGAAATCCATTTGGGGCGTTAGTAAAAATTGATATGTATGGAATTTGTGGTACAAAATCGATGCGTCACATTTTTTCAAGTCTTGAAAACCAGCTCTTATTTTAATATTATTTGCAAAATAAACAAACTGGTTATTGTTTTGTAAATTTCGCCATGACAATATTGTGCAGTTAATTCTTCTTTCAAATCAGACCTAAATTAGAAGGTTAAATGAAGGTAAACTTATTGCTCGTCCCATTCGCCTTCAAAACCTTACACAATTTTGAAATTTTTAAAAGCGTTCGTTTTAAGATTATTTGAACTGTAGCCGTCAAGCAATTGTGAGGTCATAAATGCACATGTTCGATTGAATAAAATGTGAAATTTTAGTGGAATTTTGATCATTATTTCAAAAGTTATCCCAATTTCAATGAGCCCCGTAAGCGCAAAGTGTTACGTCTTACAGCGTATTTGACGATGTTTGGGTATATTTAACCTTAAAAATATGTAGGATCCCATCAAAATTTTGAAGGAAAAATAATTTCACTGAAATGCAAATAAAAAATACTTCAAAAAGATATATAAAACACATAGTTAGCTTTTTAAATAAGGCAGAGATTAACGCTCAAAGCTGAGATCAGCCCGCATTTCCCGAATCGTCCCCAGGTCCTTGCACGTCATAAAATTTGGAACTATAATATAACATAATATCGTAATTGCAGTATTGTAGTTCTCGTGATTTCTCTGTAAAGAATCTGCAAATCATTGATGCACTAGGTCTACCTGGGAAAATAATATGAAATTGACGGAAGTAAGTTTCGCCGAGTTGCGTGAGTTTCGGGTTGATTTACAAGTCATAAACTCTCAGATTTAAAATGCTTTAAGTTTACGTTTGTTTATTTCGTCATTGTAATCTGAAGATATGATAAATATAAATAATAACAGTCGTACACAACCACTACATCTTAAACATTATAATATGTACACAGTATTTCGAAGTTGCGCTAGGTTCAGACTTACAAACCTAGAACTTACGTTTCGCATTTTTGTAGCCGTATTTCATGTTCATCTCAAACCAGTCAGAACCTTTAGGATGGTTGATAATCTTGACATGGCCTTCCATGTAGTACATACCACCATGAGGCACCTCGTCACCTGTAAACACCTGACCAAATACAGCATTCTTTTTTGTCCTGAAAACAATGAAATTAACTATTAAAGGCACTGTGTTAAGTTTGGAAATATGTTTTTATCACTATTAAGTTGTCAGCTATTTGTCATATGTTCAAATTTCCTGCCATTTTCAAAGAAATGTTGAAATATTTTGATATAATTCAGATAGATATTTTGCGGACTACTTTATTTATCAAACAATATAGTTTTAAGTATTTTTTTAATTTCATCACATTTGCAAGATTGCAGCAAATTGTTAAAGGAATTGGAGAATGATAATATAAAATGAGTTTGGATCGCTTCACACTCCAAGTGCAGGGTTCAAGGCATCACGTGCACCCAGTGTGGACGATGTCTGTCCACTGCGTACGGTCGGACGGGATATAACTTACATATTCGAGACAAGAGCTCCCTTCCCCTGAAGTCCATCTGTATGGGTGACGGTAGCTCCCTTGCCGTACCAGTGATATTTGTTTTTATTGTCAAAGTCACCTATATCCATATCGCCGTTTTTTATCAACTCCTTCCCAAGTTTGTATAAACCATTGCTTTGTAATGTAGAAGCCATGCAGGTTAACATTACCACAACTTGGAATGAGAGTTTTGATCCCATCATTACCATTTTGATCATTTACAAGTCGTGGATGAAAATGTTTCAAATGTCCTAATTTGATGCTCCCTGAAAGCTCAATTTCGTAACGTTCATTCCTGACAATAAAGACTCGTTCCTTTCGTATTCTAATCCAAATTCTCTTTATCGCTCGAGTGGCTCCCATGGAACACAACCTCATTCGCGACATATGCTGCAAATAGCTTATATATGGTTCATTATATGCCATGTAAAATTTGCATTGTATGTTATTGTAATTGTATGTATAGTTTCAGTTTTTATTTTATCATGTTTATTTGCTGTACACTTACCCGAAAGGGATTTTTAGTACAATAAAGCATTGAATAATGTCGTCATGCATAGATACGAGGGTATGCCATTGAGGATACTAGAATTATTATAGTATATGCCACGTCATTATGCATATTTGTTATTTTTCAATGTATGTACATATATCTGTTACATGCGTGGCTTTTAAATTACAAAAGTAGTGCAATATAAACGTGGAAATGGGTTAAAGTATGATTTAGATGTTGAATTTAGCATATTCGATGAGTTCAATGTGACAAATGGTTCGCCCACTTACCATTATTCGTGCCTTTGTTTTGGCAAAGTATAATTAGTTAATGGTAAAACCCTATGTGGTAAAATTGGTAAATAGTTTAATTTAAATTGAACTTGCTGTCACGATTTTCAAAACAACCACGGTAATCTGGTAATGTTTGGCAGGAACTGATTTAAATGGTATATGGACCTAACCATGAGGCTAAAATGCACCCTTGGGCACTTATCAATTTTTAAAGATTCTATTAGTTAACTAGAAGGGATAGAGAATGTGAAATGTTGAAAGCGAAGTCACACTAACGTTTCCCTTACGTAAATGATTGAAATACCTCATCATATGAAGAATGGTTTGTTTAATCTGCCGCCCAACCTTTGTGGATTTCCATCTACCCACCTCTCATGCATCTTTCATCACGTGAAACTATTTCAAGTTCATCATAATCCAATACGTAGGTTGCACGTTTGTATTTCAGACGTACAGTGACGTTGGGGAGACCGGGGCAAAACGGGACACCTTTTCAGTGTTTTACACTATAAGTTCAGTCAGTTAAACGAAAGCATATTATTTTTCATGTTGGGAACATCATTACTCAAATAAATGCGGAAATAAATAACTTTGTTTCATTTTATACCCTGGCAACGACTTGTGTACACTCCCCTCCATAAGTTTGGCAACCTTTTTCCCCCATTGAACTACGTGTTAAAGCCACTTTACGTTTGAATTTTTATTTACTTAACCTGCGATGAAAATACTTATACTATTGATGGAAACGTAATTTGACTTTAATTCCAATACCTCCAAATTTTCTCTTTTTTTCCTCAATTACAATAGGTCAAAAATTGATGAATTTTTGAAAATCGACATTCCCATGTTAACCAATGGAAAATGGTAGGTTTGCCGCAAGTCATATGACAGAATATCCATCCATCCGAGTCCTTGCAAAAAATACGAGTTAGACAGGAAATTGAATTTGCTAACTTTATTTAACAAAAAATTGATATGTTTCTTCAGGTTCAACAAAGTTATAGGGCTTTAAAGTCAAAATTGTTTTTCAAAAAACCTCTCCCATTGAAATAACACAGGAGGGGAAAAATTATTTTCAAAAATGACTTTAAAGCGCTGTAACTTTAATATTCATCAAATAAACTAAACGCTTAGTGTTCAAAAAAGTTAGACAATTCAATTTTATATATGAAAATATTTTTTGCTGAATCTTTTACTGAAAATATATCCTGATTTCTGATTTGCCCCGAACCCACCATTTCCCATTGGATTACATGGAAATGACGATTATTATTCGGTGCGGAGAACTGACGAATATATTGACGAAATCTTGTGCCCATTTCAACATCAGTATAACAAACAAAACACCACATTTACGTGTAAGTTATATACTCTTTATTTCAAATAAATACTTAGGTTCACATGAAGCCCGATGTTTTGGTTGGATGGCTAATAGGGAATGAATAATAAGTGATGATTCAGCGACATGTTTTTTCCGGAGTAACTTAAATCCTCCTTTTTGCATTGGACCTCGTCTGGCCCAGATCTACGACTTCGGAAGTAGATAACTGGGCCAGACGAGTTTGGTTACATTAGAATGTAACTATATGATATTATTGACATATGGATTGTGATTTCACATTAAAATTGTGATCCTTGTAAGACTAAATGAACTTTTGAAGGTTTTTCAACATTGTGTCAATAGGGATTTAGCCCGACCATTTTTAGAAAACTTGAAAATCTCTAGAATTTGAATCAAGGTAAATACCAGGTCGTTCAATAAGTTCTCATAATTTTGCTCTCATTTTAAGAGTTTTTTATATTTTTCCATGAAAATTTCACAGACGATGCAGAATGTATCTGTGTAACAACTCTGCAAAGATTATGTATTAATTCTAATGGTTGTGGAAATGGCGGTTGCTATAGTAACGTCAAAAATCGGTAGGCGGGGCAACTTTATTTGATCGTAAAATCCATGGATGTAGTTAGATTTCATCTTGACATGTCATATGTTTTATCTGAAAGATTTGCAACCATAGAAACAGGTTTTGACATCAGTGTGAAAGATGCAACTTTTCTGAGTATAGTTATTACTGTGACATCACATAAAAAGGTATGACATCACAGAAAAGGTTTCAATAGAGAGACCCAAGATGGCAGCTGACTGTGGTCTTGTGAAAAGTCAAGATGAAATTCAAATTCAAATCCGTAGTGTGATAAGATTTTGTGTGTTATCCAAGAAATCAAGAGGAGAAACAATAAAAGCAGTTCAAGATATTTATGGAAAGGAGTTAATGAGCACACCTACCATATACCAATGGTATCAAAGGTTTGGTTCAGAGGGAAGAAAATCTGTGATGGATGAAAAACGGACTGGCAGACCGGTAAAAGTCACCAACCCAAAGGCTGTTGAAAGAGTTAAGACAGTTCTAGATGATGATCGCCGCATCTCTGTACGGGAACTTAGTGAGAATGTGAACATTAGTATAGGTAGAACACACTTCATTCTGAAAGAGAAGCTTAAAATGAACCTCATGTGTGCTAAATGGGTGCCAAAGGAGTTAACTAGTGACCAGAGAGCCCGCAGAGTTGAGGTTTCCCAAGAATTTCTAAGACGATACCAAGATGAAGGGGATAGTTTTCTTCAACGAATTATCACATGCGACGAGGTGTACGTCAGCTATTATGAGCCCCTTGGGAAGAGAGCATCAAGTGGTTGGAGAACTAAGAACTCACCTACTCCCATTTCAACCCTGGCAAAACTGACCAAAAATGACGGCAAGGTGATGTTCATTGTGTTTTTGGATAGCTCTGGGGTGCTGCTTACGCATGCAATTCCTGATGGTCAGAGAATAAACAAGGACTATTATGCAATGGTAAGCTTATTCATTATTAATAAATTAATCAATATAAGAGTAAAAACATTAAATCAAATCAAATTTAAAATCAGATTTGAACTATAAAAATGGTTAAGTACAAATGTTAAAGGCATTAGTATCCTATCCTACTGACTATTTCAGGTTCTCAAGAGGCATCTCAAACGGGCCTTCTCAAAGAAACGCCCCCTCCTAGAGTTGGCGACAAGAATATTTCATCAGGATAATGCCCCGTGTCACCGGGCAGAACTTGTACTGAACACCATAGGAGAACTCGGAATGGAAGTTCTCCCACAGGCACCATATTCACCTGATGAAGCCCCATGCGACTTTGGCGTGTTTGGCAGAATGAAAGATGAGCTGAGAGGTTTTCGATTTGCATCGACAGAAGATTTGCAGAATGCAGTCCAAAATGCTCCCAGAGCTAGATTTCCTGATGGATTCCATAAAATCTTCGAGGATTGGGTAGAACGTCATCGAAAGTGTGTCGCATCCAATGGACATTATTTTGAGCATTTAAAGTAGGAATAGAAACATTTACCCCATACTGTTTCATGGGATAAATGGGACTACATGACATTAAAACACTTGTTACTCTCCACAATGTTGAACTGAATTATATGCCACTATGACGTCAAATAATCTGCCCCGCCTACCCATTTTTCATGTTACTATAACAACCGCCATTTTCACGACCATTAGAATTAAAACTTAATTTTTGCAGGGTTGTTACACAGATACATTCTGCATCGTCTGTGAAATTTTCATGGAAAAATATAAAAAACTCTTAAAATGAGAGCAAAATTATGAGAACTTATTGAACGACCTGGACACAGTGCAAAAACTAAGTTGTTTTGATAGAAAATTAGAATTCAAATAGAAGAAAATGTTAGTCTGTAGTGGATAAAAATGCAGATCTCCTAAAATCTCATAAAAACGAGACCTTAACGAGATTTCAAAGCTATATGGAAAAGCCACTATTAGATAGATGCCTTCACTGGGCTATTCTCTATACTTGTGTCCGTGCGTAATTTTGAGTAGCGAGTGTAAATTCTTTTCGGAAACATGATTATGTTTTCCATGCAATATGAATTGTAGATATCTGACAAAATATGGATAGCCTTAAATATAAATTTTGTGTTTTTGAACTTGCGGAAATATCTTGAACACTTTGAAACTGAACTACAGTTCCTTAATAGGTCGTTCAGTTTTCTTGTTTTTGTTCTACACAACAGTTGTGTTTAATACCCACGCGTTATTATTAATAAGCGTAATCAGATTATTTCAAGCGTCGAAATAGCTTATTTTCCTCGACGTATCTACACAAACCTATTCACTTACCGTTATATCTAGCGATCTAGATGCGTCAATTATAATTGTTTTCACTCATCGGCTTTAGTGGCACGCGATACCTTTTATTTCATTCATTTGAGACGCAATTGATATATTGGCAACAGATCAAATGTTCTAAATGATTCTTCTTCATTTTGGAATGTTTCTCCTACCCGATATTCAAAGATGTGTCTTAAATATTATACTTTACATTGATAACGATTCTTGTACTTTCTGTCTTAACGACTCACGTTCACATTTGCAAGAGTTGTTGATTGCGTTGCCTTGATCGTTGGTCGAACTTCGATTCCAACTAAATCAGATTAATCAATTAAGAAATGTAATTTCATGTTTATCCAAGCAAATAATTGTAACAACTACAATTTATTTTTTAGCAGTTTTGACACCTAAGCAGGGTAGCCTGGTGGCGTAGACTGAGGCTACTTTGCGGTTGAACGTCGTGGGATACGGAGGTCCCGCGTTCGAGCCCCAGGTACGGAGTTGTTGATCATTGTCACTACGGACACCCGGT